TATGGCCTGCCATTCTCATTCCATTCCTAGTCCACTTCAACAAAACCCTGTCCACATGAACACAACATCTGCCATCAAAACGCTCCTAGAACTATAATTAAATTTAAGATGTAGTTATTGCAAATATCAGTCATTATATAATTAATTAGGCAACTAAAATTCACATGTAAGTGCATGTGATATAGTGTATTTGTGGAATAACCTAAAATTGATGTGCATCAAAGGGGGCCACCCTTAGTTGAATGTCTTTATATTTGACTAATTCTTGGACGTTTTATAGTATCAAAACTTTAATTTAATTCTTCATGCAATCAATTTCTTTGACGAGGCGTATTAAAAGCTACTACCAAACTTGTTCTTGAATCCTTATGCAGTAGTTTAAGCTTTGAAATTAAACAATTATATTCTCTAAAATGTACACATAGCTTTGCTTTTAGCATCAATAGAGAAAATCCAAAACCAAAAGAATTCTAGGCCGTAATTTGTCTCCATATCATCGTCTTGACTCATACAGTAACCAAGTTTCCTTTTTTTCTTTTGAAAATTTACAGTAACCAAGTTTCTTCCTTAAAAAATTTTCTATTAAAATTATGTTATGTTTAAATCAGTAGATTAGAAAGGAACAGACAGTATAAAAATATACAAGCAAGTCGGGAACATAATTTAGGACTTACCCACCCATGCTTCATGACCTAAGCACCCAAGTTAACCTTGTCATTGACCTGTCTCCGCGTCCAACCCAAAGGCCCGTTCCATGGTGAAGCTAAGGGACCATTGTCCACTTCCATACGACCTTTTGAGGGCTAATGAGCTCATGGACCCAGCCCACGTCATTGTCACAACCCACTGTCCATCTCTGAAGACAAAAATAATGTGAGAGAATGATTTTAACTTGATGAGGTCACCAACTTTATTAAATCAATCCAATTTTTGTAATCTTCCTTTGATTTCAGAATAAACCAATGTTTTGGATCCTTCTCATGAATCAGAAAACGAGTGTAGAACCAAAGAATCATGAACCTACCAATAAGTTGCCCGGCTTGGATTCATTCCTTGTCCATGGATGTCAGCAATTTTACAGTTGGAACAACCAGAACCTCACATTTATCATAAAGTAATGTAAATATCTACATGATTGATGGTAGTAAACTAATTGGTACATTATTTTAATTGTGGAGTTAATCATGTCTATTAGTGCTTAATGACGATGACGACAAAGACAACGACCAGGAAATCAATTAACTTGGGTACATTGGAAGCCAAGTAGATTTCACCAAGGCAGCTGATTTGGTGATTAATTACCGTAGAATCTTTGAACATGTCTGAAATTTCTAGCTGGGATGATTGTATATGGTGGTGACAAGCTGCCAATGGCATGGGTGAAAAGAAAATTCACTTTAATGATCGCTTTCCATCCTAACTGATATGTCAGGTTTAATTTTGAGATGTAATTATCAGAGGACCAACTCTGTTGAATTTTCATAAAAAGTTGAAGGAATTGAATCATATGTTGGATCTATAAAGTAATCTATATCATTGCATCGAGTCCAACATATGGAAACTAAGATTGGAGATTTGAGAAAAGACAGAGGTGCACACGTTTAAGACTTCAAAGTTTTTAGTAGACCTAATAATTTATATTTTCATATTTTTATTCGTGTCAAAATTTTAACAAAGTATAAAGATATATTTAATAAACGTATCATATGATATAGTTAATATGTTTATTAAATTTGTCGAATTTAATTTTATACGACACGATTAATATAATTAAAATTTATATAATTTATAATATATTTATATGATTAATATGATTAACACACTATGGATACCATTAATATGATTAAAATGATTGAATTAAAATATAATTCTATTATTCAATTCATAATAAAAACTATAAATATTATAATATTTATCAAATATAATAAAATTTAATGTCAATAAATTTTAATTATTATTAAAATATTAGTATTATATGGATCAATAAATATGTTTTAATTGTATACTAAATGTATCTACACGATACGTGAACATGATTAAATAAATAGATAATAAACGAGTCATGAGTTATATGGGTACTCAATAATGAGTTAACTAATTATGTTTTAGATGAGTCTTAAACATATTAAGCAAATTTGATGGGTTAAGACATGAGTTGATACGATTAATATACAAAATACGGTTATCCTAAAATCAAACTCACTAAAATCTATATTATATTGTTGTGTCATATACAAAATTATCAATTCTAGCTTTTAGCTCATGTCTTTGTTTTTTGTCAACTTACATATAAAAAGTTCAAGGAAATATGCAGAGGAAATTCAACTATAGAACGTTGATTTTTTTGAAAAAATGGATCTAGACGAGCCAAATTTTGTATATACCCATTTTAGAAGAAGCCATCAATGATAAGTTTAATCAAAATTTGACAGTCAAGCCATACGTATTAGATAACCTTAAGGTAGATAGAACATTGCTAGTCTCATTAATTTGATCGATTCAATTAGAACCATCCTTGACTAGAACCTTTGAATATGACCTTCTTTCTTTATGGTAATATAAGCAGGTAATCAAACAATAACTGATGCTATTAAATAATAATGAGGTAATAAATAGGTGCCTTAGTGTCTAAAGGCAATTATAATTTTCAGACTTTATCAGGAAAAAGAGATTCAAAGAAAGCATTTTTCTTATAAATTAATAATTAAATTTTGGTGCATTTGATTAAATTTGACTCAATAATAGATATATATTTTAAAAAATTCTGTTCAAATTTTTAAATTTATTTTACCAAATAAAAAAATTTTTAGATTTAAAAATATAATTTCTTTATTATAAAGAAAACGTTTTTTTCAAAAATATAAAGCATAGATGCTTTGATTGCTTATATATTTATATATATATATTTATATTCCATAACAATAAGCATTTGAAAAGGAGAAAAAACAATTACATTTCATTTGATTATGTGCGGCCGGTTTCATCTTATTCTTATCTACAAACAATCACAGAGTTGACACGTAACTTAGGAGCCCCATGTCAATTACGGCAGTCAACAGCAGGTGCCGACTGCCGTATCTATGACTTTTGTCTTTACCTTAATAAATTCAAGCTTATAATATTTTTTGGCTTTCTACTATAATAATAAAAATAAAACCGTGCATTACGTGTTTCCTTTTTATTTTATTTAAAATATTCACGTGTTTTACTTAGTAATATATTTTCCATAACATTTGTAAATATTCAACAACAAAACAGTGTATGAACTTCGGCTGTCATGAACAATTTTAATTTCATGAATAACTGTTTAGCACTTAATTTAAGTATAATTAATCATAATCTGCTATGATAAAAGGTAAATCCTTAATAACTTTGAAATCAAATAGTATTTATTGTTTAATAATTTACTTAATTAAACTTAATGTTCCACTAAGTAAAATAGAAAAACATAGAAAACATTTGTGAAATAAGGAACGTCATATGACAACATCACATCAATAGATGTTTGTCCCACAAATAATTAAAAGCAATTTCTTTGCTTTTAAAAGGGGACCACATATAGATTAGCAAGTGGGGTATGGCAAAAGGAGCAAATAGGACAATAGCAAACAAAATCTCCCCTGTTGCCTGCCAACCTTCATGCATCTCCCTTGATTGTCTCTTGGAAAATTTCATTAAAAAGCAGGCAAAACAAGTTTAGGGCTTGTGAAATGACATAGACATTCTTGGTTGCCATTACTTCTGTTAAAACTATTAAAATGTCATTTTATTTTATAAAACACTATAAATGCATTTAACATATAATTATTTTTCTCATCATTTATATAAAATTCTTGGTTAGAGTTAATCATCAAAAGTAACAAACTTGATGAATTAAGGTATAACTTTATTTAAAGAAAAGAATCAAATTATAGTAGCGTAAAATTAATTAATTTAACGCTCTTCTATGACTTCATACGTAGATAATATTTTAATAATTTGATTATTGAATTTAACAATTTATTCTACATATCATGTTTGAGAAGTTTCAAATGAATATGATATCTTATTATATGGATTGAGAATATTGTGTTTTTTAATAGATATTTAATGATCAAAATTTTATTATATTAATTAAATAGTTTTAATAAACTTGAAATATGATATACCATATCTATCGATAGTTGCACCTTAGCTACCTTCCATCTACTACGGAGCTATCATCTATCGATAAATGTTCTTTAATCCTTTACATTTCTCGTTTCAGTTTTTCATCTATCGATAATTTATACTTGGATTTCTCTTTTCAACATTTTTAAACCCCCAAATATATTCCTCTAAGTGCTCCAAACATTCTCATCACATTTTTACTCATTATCATGGCCCATATTCATCTAATAACATTCAAATTCTCAATTACACTCTATGCCACTTAGCATGTCAATGAAACATAACATTAAATGCTTATATAGTGTACTCATCTAAGTGCCAAATATATGCACAATATCATTTTGAAACTTTACATACTCATATATTTCAATATCACATTTTTATAAACATAGACATTTCTCAAATTCTCAAACATATTCATTAAAATTCAAATTAACCTACGTCATGGTTTAACTTCATACATAATTATCATTAAAGTCGGGGTGTTACATCAATGCAATTTAACAATGAATTAATCATATATGACTTGTATAAAATATATAAAAATGAATTAGTTTTACTCTGATAGAAGTAAATTTTTTTTGTTTACGTGGTAAGATTTATAAAAGAAACCAGACTTTGAAAGTTTTGTCCGTCCCTCCTAAATTTTAACCAAAATCGATTTTTTAAAATCAATATAAAAAATGAACCGACACAGAATAATAATTTAATCACCCACTTAACAACTCTATTATGTAGCAAATTTTCTAATTTTATATTCCTTGTTTAATTACTTACCGTCATAGACGTACATGCAACTTCCTGCCGTGTTGTTTTTCTCTTCTTTGCCTTCTTTATAAATCAAAGCTGCATTACAAGAATTGAGAGGAGTCTAAACACTCTTATCTTAGCTTTCTGGTTGTTGGGTCTCTCTCAATTCTCCATTTCCAAGCTCGTATATTTTGATTGTTTCTCTATCTGGGTTTGGTCAAAAGTTGGTTTTTCTTTCTCTGGGTTCGGCATCAATTATTGCTTTGGTGCCTATATTAGATTTAATTCAAGAAAATATAAATTGGGTTTTTCAAGTTTTGTTGATTGGAAATTCGGGTTGGTTTCTTTTCTTGTCTTTGGATATCAAAGACTCAACCTTCTAATTGTAGATTATACGAGTAGTCTGTTGATTGTA